GGGGCCAAGGACACCGGGGCCTAGTGCGAGGGGGCTTCATCGACACTCGTGGTCTTCCATCCCCTCGAGTTACCTAGTGGCCATGCCCCAGTGTTCCCAACAACTCCCCCCTTTGAGAACACTCAACAGCCTTGGCTCTGAGTTTTCTCACTTGGGCTACTTATTTCTTTACAATATGACTTTGCATAAGCACTTTGTGATAGCCCTGAAGAGAATGACTTATTAACTTTTGCAAAAGGGCTCTGACACATGATACTGCACAGCATAATACCAGTAATACAAGCAATACAGGAAAGAGAATTTTCAATAGCAGGCTAAATAAACCACCAAGCCAAGACGACAAACCCCAGCCTGAAAACAAGGTTTGCAACCAATCGTTCTCTGGGGCAGTATAGGCAACCTGTGCTCCGGCTCGGGCATGGGCCTCAGCCTGTACCACCTTTTCATAGATCTCATAACTGCTATCATTTACATAGACACAACATCGGGGCCCGATGAGGGCACAAACCCCTCCTTGGGATGCCAAGAGATAGTCCAAAGCCAGCCTGTTTTGGAGGGAAAACGTCCTGAGCTGCTGTACCTCTTTATTTAATGTTTTTACTGCTGACCCTAAATTACTAACCGAGTCCTCTAACTCTAAGGCCACTTTCTCAAATACCATCTGCAGCCTTACAGTATAGCGGCCTATGCATGCCAGGGCTGGCCCGGTAAACAGTGGCGCTATTCCCAGTACAGAGCACCCTACCAGCTTCTCGGTTGTGAGGGGATTCTTCATATTGCCCTCCAATGCCTTAGTCAGTCGCCGCAGGGTCTTTTCTCGTGACTCAACAGAGGTGTCTCGGGCATTTCTAATCTTTCCTTTGGGCAGTGTGGCAGTTATGGAAAGATGAGGAACTCCATGAGCTATATAACAGCTACCTGTCCAGTTGGCTGGCAGCACCTTGTAAGCCTTTCGGCCACATACAAAATAGTGACCCTGTAGGGCCCAGTAAGGACTGTTTCTTAAGGGGATTCCTGGGATATTTAGGGCTGCTTTGGCTGTTTTTTTTAAATAATTTATATGCCCCTAAGGGGGCATCCCATCCTCCTGATTGGGTACAAGTGGGGGCATTTCTAATTGTGCCGTTCAAATTACACTTGCCATAGGGACCACTACAAACCCACCATTGGCTTGCTACATTGGAGATATTAACTGGACGGCAAGTTACATTTCCAAACCCCTTTTTTTGTGGTAAGATAATTTGTAAGTATTTCCCTAAAAGGGGAGGAACCATTACACCCACACTGTTGGCCTCCCCTGTTGGTTTTTATCCAATACCCATCAGCCCACTGTGTAATAACACAGGAGCTCTTTCCCACAGGATGCCCATAGTGATCAGATTGGTTTCAGGTAAAACATAACACTTCCTCAGTGAGTACTGCAACTGAATACTCCTGGTCCTGATAGGCGGCTTGCTGTAAAGAGGTCTTGTTTAAGAATGGTGAGTTCGTTTTTTCCTGCTCTTTGGTGGTGGCTAATTCTGCTAGGGTCAAGGGCAGCATGTCAAGGGGCATTCCCGTTTTGGGGGATAGTGGAGTTGGAGCACATACCAGCAATCAGTCTGGTTTGTTAAAGTAGCAACATGGTGCGCAAGCAAAACAAAGGAGTTATGCTCCCGATATGCACAGTTTGGAAATACCAATACAAAGAATAACAATGTTACCCAATTAATTATGACCAGAGTCTTTCCAACCCAGGGTCTCCAGTACCTGGGTGGGCCCATTTTAGCATTAAGGTGCCCGCTATTTGTGTCTTTTAAACAGTAGCTTTAGCCCGAGATCGTCACTAGATGAGGAGTCAGCAGGTTGGACGGTCCACTGTCCTGCTGACGAGGGGGCGGGTACTGCCTTCAGACGAGAGTGATGGATCCAGTTCTTGTGTCCCTCGATCTTTGCCGCTGTATGGGAGATCAGCAGGACGGTATAGGGTCCTTTCCACTTTTCCTGGAGAGGCTCGTCTTTCCAGGTGCGAACAAGCACAGAGTCACCGGGCTGTAAGGAGTGAACGGGAGAGTCCAAGGGGAGAGGCTGGGAATCCTTGGTATGCCTGTGAAGAGACAAAAGAACAGCAGACAGGGAACACATATACTGTGACAAAAAACCATTACCCAACTCCCATTCCCCTGACAGAACCGGGGTGCCATTCATAGGCCATGCCCTTCCAAACATAATTTCAAAGGGACTGAGCCCTAATCTACCCTTTGGGAGAACGCGGATACAGAGTAGGACAAGGGGCAAAGCATCAGGCCATCGCAGTGAGGCTTCTTGGCACACTTTTGAGAGATGCCGTTTAAGGGTCTGATTGGTACGCTCCACTACACCACTGGCTTGCGGTCTCCAGGGCGTATGGAGTTTCCAGGGGACCTGTAAGGCATGTGAGATGCTTTGAATGATTTTTGACGTGAAGTGTGTTCCATTGTCAGATTCCATCCACAGTGGGAGTCCAAAGCGAGGAATGATCTCTTTAACAAACTTGAGGGCCACTGTCCTGGCAGTGCAGTTACGGCATGGGAAGGCTTCTGGCCATCCGCTGAACCGATCCACTATGACAAGGAGATATTTGAACCCTTGGGTCCGGGGAAACTCAGTAAAGTCTATTTGCCACACTTGTCCGGGGCCCGGAGTGGGTTCTAGGGCAGCTGGTGGCACAGGATGTCCCAGTCGGGGGTTATTCTTTTGGCAGACTAAGCAGTCCGCTTGTACCTGGGCAGCCAGGGGTCGGAGTCCGGAAGTGATAAAGTATTTTCCCATTAGCTGGATAAGTGTTTCCCTGCCAGCATGAGTGGTTTGATGTAGTTTCTGCAGCACTGGCCGGATTAGGCCCTTTGGTAAGAGGACCTTCCCTTCTGGGGAATGGAGCCATCCCTCCTTTTCCCGGAGACAGAGTTTGTCAGTTAGCTGTCTCTCCTCCGCAGAGTACTGAGGGGTTGGAAGTTTCCCTTACTGATGGGATAAGGGCATGTATATGGACGTTCTCAGCCTGAGGGGATGGCAGGGTGGCAGCATGCTTAGCCTCTCTATCTGCCCGGGCGTTACCTCTGGCCACATCTTGATCCTCCCTTTGATGGGCTTTACAGTGTACCACCGCCACTTCCGAGGGGAGTTGTACGGCTTCTAGGAGCCGGAGGATTTGGGGCCCGTACTTGACTGGGGAGCCTTGGGCTGTCAGCATTCCCCTTTGCTTCCATAGGCCAGCATGAGCATGCAGCACCCCAAAAGCATACGTTGAATCAGTAAAAATGTTGACCCGCTTTCCTTTTGACAGTTCAAGTGCACGGGTCAGGGCTATTAGTTCGGCAAGCTGGGCAGAGGTCCCAGCAGGCAAACCTTCAGCTTCCACAGTGTCATGGAGGGTCACAACAGCATAACCCGCCCTCCTTTGCCCATCTATTACGGTACTGCTACCATCAGTGTACCACTCATAATCTGCATTTGGGAGGGGTACATCCTTTAAATCCGGACGGCTGGAGTACTGGACATCTATGATCTCTAAACAGTCATGTTTCTGTTCCTCTGTTTCTGGCAAGAGGGTGGCTGGGTTAAGGGAGGGGCAAGGCTGTAAGGTGACTTCAGAGTTCTCTAACAGCTTAGCCTGGTACTGAGCAATCCGAGCCTGGGTGAGCCAAAGCCCTCCCTTTGCATCCAATAAGGCTCGGACCATATGGGGAGTATAGATTTGCATAACCCCTCCCAATGTTAGCTTCTCCGCTTCCTCAAGCAATAGGGCTGTAGTTGCGACCGCCCGTAAACATGCCGGCCAACCCTTTGCAACCTGATCCAATTGCTTAGAAAAATAAGCCACAGGACGCTTCCATGCTCCTAACAGCGGTGTGAGCACTCCTAGGGCCACCCCCCTTCGTTCATGTACATACAACTGAAACGGCTTAGAGAGATCTGGCAGGCCCAGAGCCGGGGCTTCCATTAATTTTCTTTTCAGAATTTTAAATGCCCTGTCAGCCTCTGGGGTCCAATAGAAGGGGTCATGATCCGCTCCTTTTACACAGTCGTACAGGGGTTTAGCCCACAGTCCAAACTCTGGGATCCATATCCTGCAAAAGCCTGCCATACCCAGAAATGCCCTGAGCCGCTTACAATTATTTGGAGAGGAACTTGACAGATAGATTTCTTTCTTTTTTTTTCGCTTGAACGCTGACGCTCCCCTTGCCTTAGCTGTAACCTGATCCCTCTCCACCTCAGACAACAGGGTTCTCAGGAGGATATTACAGTCGTCTCAATCGGCTTGTGACTACTGAGGCACCCCTCAAAGACTGAAATAAACCTGCTTACGTTCGTTGAGAATTCCCCAGCCTGTGTTTTAAAAGCTGCTAAGTCTATTGGATTGAATGGCACATGGATGTAAACTTGCATAGTGGTAGCCTGACGTCCGTCTGCCCCTGGGCAAGCCACAACAGTCTCGGTAAGCAAAGGATAGAGTACCACCGAGGGGGCAATCTCTGTAACCCGAGGCATCCTACCCTTATACGGTGGGGGTGTGGGGGCCGAAGGGGACACCGGCTCTGCCATTACAGTGGGGGTGGGGGTCTGGGGACTAACATTAGCTGCTACCGAACCAGTCGGAGTCAGATTACAGTGCTGTAAAATATCTGGTCGAGTACATAAAGTCAGAAACAAATGCGCATACATATGTTCATTCCATTTACCCATTCACTGACAAAACAAAACTAATTGGAGGATCGTGTTGTAATTAATTGACCCTCCTGGTGGCCACCACTCCTGGTCCTCTAGTTGATATTGAGGCCAGTCAACTGTACAGAATCGTTTTAATTGGCTCTTAGTCATCGGATCCGCACCAAATACCTTCCAGTTTGCTAGAATGCACTCTAGGGGCGTACACCGTGCCCTAACCTCTGAGCTCTGTCCCTGTCCCATACCTACAGGGTAACTCTGGGCGTCCCCAGGTTCCAACAGAGCATATAATCCGGATTTTAAAAGGTTCATACCTTATCCAAGGGACCGGTTCTTCACCGTGGCCTGCAGCTGCTCCTCCCCCACGTCTAAGGGACCGGTTCTTCACCGCCGTCCACAAACTGCTTCTCCACTATATGAGTGCGTTGCACCGTTGTGCCCTCTGGGGTCGATCAAATCGCGTCTCCTCCGAGGCCCCCGATGAACTCACCGGTGCGCGCTGGGCGTTGGTTCTCGCCGCACTTCTCGACCTCCAGGAGGGGTCCGGGCAAGGCTAAATTGCAGCGTCGTCGCCCACCCAGGGACGCCAAAAGCTGTTGCCGGCACCCAGTGCCGAGAGGCTGAACAACAGCTTGAGTTGGTTCGTTACCCGGTGTGCTACACCCAATAATCACAACGGGGTGGAGAAGCAGAAAAGTTTATTTGCAGCTGCAAAAAGGTACAGGGAGAATAAAATCTCAAATCCTGCACAACAGAGCAGGAAGTTACACAGGCTTTTATACATCCTTTTTCCCAGCATACTTATCCAATAGCAAGCTGCTCCAAGTATCCATATAGCCAGCCAATCCAGTTCCCAGCTAGTTCCCTGATTCTCTGTATCATTTGTTAAACTATACATAAAGCTGCTTTATTCAGCATTGTTCTTCCATATCTCCCCTGTTTGGCCTTGCTTAGTTTCAGGCAGTCTGACTCTGCAACATACTGTTGCAGATTCTCAGCATAACTGCTGTGTGTGCCTCCAGGCAGGGGGGGCCAAGGACACTTGGGCCTAGCACGCAGAGCTGCTGCGAGTGCCTCCAGGCAGGAGGAGGGGGCCAAGGACACCGGGGCCTAGTGCGAGGGGGCTTCATCGACACTCGTGGTCTTCCATCCCCTCGAGTTACCTAGTGGCCATGCCCCAGTGTTCCCAACAAACTCGATACAAAAATAGAGAATGAGACAGTCCCTGCTTCAGAGCGCGCACATGCTAACAGGAAGGAGATGCAACAAATGGGTGTAATGCACACCCACAAGGAAGACAGGAGGGAGCAGGTGTTTAACAGCGGCAGGAAACAGGTTTGTGAGGGCTGGCACCGCACATGCCCAGAGGCAAAAGTTCAAACACATCCCGAGTGATCACAGCTGTGCACCTGCCAAGCATTCTCAGCTGATAATGCCCAAAGCCAGCCTGGCAGGGTCTTGGGCAGGAGAGAATAATCAGGAAACACCAGAGGGCTGGAAAACAGCTAGCGCTGTGGCGATATTTTACAGGACAGGTGGGTCGAGCCGGTAACTATAGGCCAATGATGGCAGGAGCCTCTGGGAAATCAGGGAGCCGCTGATACGGGAGAACTAAATGGTGGCAGCTGGCTCTATGGAAACAGGTTGTCACACGTGCCTCTTGTCACTGCTGATGACATTACAAGTCTGCTTCATACAGGTAACTGGGTTAATACTTGGTGCTCGGCCCTGAGGGTGCCCCCAAGACCACAAGACCCAGGGCCAGCCCTGCGTTGTTCCACGCACTGAGATGCCACACAGTCAGCACCAGAGCTCAGCCCTGAGTGGCTCTGGGTGTTCAGCTGGGATGTTCTCCTGCACTGGACATGGACAGGCTGCAGCACTTCCTTATACACACCAGGTGTGTGCATCGTAACAGCCTTCAGTGCTCTGCCAGGCATGGCTGGGATTAGTTTAAATAAGGCATTTTACACACACCACCACCTCATGGTGGAACAATGTTATGGGCCAGGATGTAGGCAGTCTGGCCTAGTAGTCAGAGCAGGCATCCAGGTTGGGGAATGAAGCTAAGGGTCAGCATCAGAGTCAACTGCCAATTACCAGAGCCCGGGGTCAAGCCAGAGTCAGAACCAGGAATCAAACTGAGGCTCAGAGCCGAGGTCAGATACCAATTACCAGAGCCTGGGGTCAAGCCAGAATCCGGGTCAAAAGGCAGCAGCTGGGGTCGGAGCCAGGGCGGTTCACTGAGGATTGGAGGTGAGGGCAGGAACTAGCGGAGAGGCAAGGATCAAGCATGAAGCAAGAGCATGGTGGGAACAGGAGCAAAGGCAGGGGTCAGGCAGGAGCGGAGCAGAAATCAGGAACAGCGCTGGATGCAGGAGGCAGGCACAAGCCAGGTCCAATTCAGCCACAAGAGGAACGCAGAGGAACAAACGGCCTGGGCCTCCTTCTGACTTAAACAGCATGGTTGGGCCGATAGGTATAGCCGATAGGTATAGCCAGGCGATCCTCCAATCAGGGGTCTCATGGGTGGCGCTTTGGCTGTAGGCCTACTAGCTTCTTGGCCCACCAGCTTTCAGCAGAGCTTAGGTAGAGGCCAGGGTTAGGGGAATCTAGGGAATGGTCCCACGGTGACCAGTGTTGTGGGAGGCTCTCTGCACCAGCAGCCAGAAGGAAATCTCTGCATTGCAGCTCCACTCCTGCTAGCTATGGTGGGAGCTGCAGCGCAGACCAGCTCCAGCCATGTGTGGGTATGTCTGCGCTGTAATTAGACACTTAGGACTGGCTCATGCCAGCTGATTCAGGCACGCAGGGCTCGGGCTAATGGGCCATTTAATTGCAATGTAGAAGTTTGGGCTCAGGCTGGAGCCCAGGCTCTAGGACCCTGCGAGAGGGGAGAGTCTCAGAGCTCGGCTGCAGCCCAGCTGACATGCACCACTTGTGGGTTTTTAATTGCAGTCATCTAGACATGCTCTGAGCAGGCTCAGACCTCAGGGAGGTCGAAACACAGGCAGCTGGTCTCTACTGGCCCACCCATCAGTGGAGCTTTGTGCAGGGAGGCCTCCCCTCCTCTGACCCGCGTCCCTCCCCTAGACAGACTGAGCGTGCGCTGCAAAACAGAAGGAAAAGGATTGATACCCCCAGCCATATTCTTTGCCAAGAGGAGTAACTGTGCTCAACTGGCCTCATGCCGCTGCCTGCTGGGTGTTGGTTCTAATCCTTGCGTCTGGCGTGTGCACTGAGCACAATCCTCCCCAGGCCGTTCTCTGTGCAGCACCTCTGATATTTGTCAGCAGCAGTCAATCGTTATCATCCAGAGCTCCAGCTTCTCGCTCATTTTCTGCTCTGGCTGCAACCTGCCCCGGGGGACTTTCTAGGAGGAGAAAATTCCTCTTTGCCCATTAAAAAATTTGTGACCACCTAACTACTCCTCCCCTCCCCTGATCTCAGCATATGGACCCACTGGCGCCAGGCCAAGCAGACTTCCCAGCAGCTCATGGTATCAGCGCTGGCCAAACACACTTCTCCCTCAGGAGCTGAGGAAGAGGGAGCAGCATGTGGCATCCGAGTGCAATTAAAGCCCATGATGAACAGCTCACTGTAAATATTGATAGCGCAGAGTTTGAGCCCCCCCGGCCCTGGCCCCGGCAGAGATCAGGCTCTGGCGCTGCTAACCCATCAGAGGAGGCTGTGGCGAGGACGGAGCAATCTTTACGTGCTGCAGTAATGAAGCGCTTGGTTCACACTGCATGACGTCGGTCTGGCTGGGCCTGTGTTTGGTTCAGTGGAGAGATGAGCAGAAAAGATCAGCAAAGGGGAGTCTTTGGCCAGGAGCCAGCACTCTCCCGGGATGAGAACCCACCAGTGCAGGCAGGGATTCCTAAGGAGTTGAAACCCAACGATTGGCCCGTGTCCCCTTTCCAGGGGGGACAGGCCCAAAGGAGCCAGCGTCCACTTTCCAGGCCCTGCAGCGCCGGGCAGTCCGTGTACCCCCGGGCAGAGATCACTGCGCAGGGCAAGCTGTGGGAAGGGCCCCTGCAGGCCTGGCTTAGCCCTGGGTGACAGGTCTACACACTGTGCAACGTGGACCCTTGCCAGGCCACCTGCATGGGTAGCCCAGCTGTTACCTGCCTGTGCAGCGAGGCCAGGGCTCACCATGGCCTATGGGCAGGTGGAGGAGCCATTTCACCAGCCTCAGATGGCACGGGGCTGGCCATGGCCACCACCACCACAGAATCTGCGCCCGCCATCAACCCACCGTGCGAGCCAGGGCAGCCACTGGTACCTCTCTTTCTGGGGCAGGAAGCTCTATTTGAGGGGTGTGCGGCTGGTTTGTCACAGGTTTGGGGGGCCCGGAGGTTGGAAGATGGGGGAGCAGTGCGCGAGTGACATTCCTGCTGCAGGGGGCGGGGCAGTGTGGCCCCAAACCTGGAAACACAGGACTTGGGGAGGGCAACGTTTGGATGAGTCATTTCAAAGCTTGGAGGGCTCCTCCCCGGGGCCCTGCGCTGTGTTGGCCTCCCTGCGAAACCAGGGTCTTGCTGGGTGCGTAGGAGTGTGTACAGAGCGCAAGGTGGCATCCAACTTAGCGGGTGAGGACGCTGCACCCTTCTGCACAGGGGCATGAAGGGACCCTGCAGCCAAGCTCACAGAGCCCCGGGCAGGAGTCACCCACTTCCCCAGCTCTGCCAAGGCCTGAGCCTAGCCAGCTGGGGCCTCTCAGCCGCTGGGCTTGCAGCAGACCCCGTGCAGCTCAGCTCAGGGCGCGCAGCCCTCGGAAAGCTCCCCGGGACCTTTGCGCCCTGAGCTGTCCCTCTGCACCCCGTGAATTTCACCCCAGCTGCAAATCGCCCCCCCCGTCAGTCACACCAGGGCTGGGGCTGCGATTCCCAGACCTCGGAACCAGCCCAGGGGACAAGTTCGTGTCTGCAGGACCTGCAAGGAGAGCTCCCGTGTGACCGCAGCGAGAGCAGGGCCAGGGGCCCGGAGAGACCGGCACAGGCGATGGGGGAAACGCGTCACCTGAGCAAACACCCCCCGTCAGGCAGCGAGGCCATGTCACAGCGTGAACACAGCCCTGCGGGAGCGGGGGGGACTGGGGGGCGGAGCCGGCCGGCGCGGGGGGTGGGGGCGGGAGTCTGGGGGCGGAGCCGGCCGGCGCGGGGGGCGGTCTGGGGGCGGAGCCGCCGGTGTGGGGGGAGTCTGGGGGCGGAGCCGGCCGGCGCGGGGGGCGGTCTGGGGGCGGAGCCGGCCGGTGTGGGGGGGAGTCTGGGGGCGGAGCCGGCCGGCGCGGGGGGTGGGGGCGGGAGTCTGGGGGCGGAGCCGGCCGGCGCGGGAGGGGGGTTCTGGGGGCGGAGCCGGCCGGCGCGGGGGGGTAGGGGCGGGAGTCTGGGGGCGGAGCCGGCCGGCGCGGGGGGGGGTTCTGGGGGCGGAGCCGGCCGGCGCGGGGGGGTAGGGGCGCGAGTCTGGGGGCGGAGCCGGCCGGCGCGGGGGGTAGGGGCGGGAGTCTGGGGGCGGAGCCGGCCGGCGCGGGGGGGGGTCTGGGGGCGGAGCCGCCGGTGTGGGGGGAGTCTGGGGGCGGAGCCGGCCGGCGCGGGGGGGGGGGTTCTGGGGGCGGAGCCGGCCGGCGCGAGGGGGGTGGGGGCGGGAGTCTGGGGGCGGAGCCGGCCGGCGCGGGGGGGGGTGTCTGGGGGCGGAGCCGGCCGGCGCGGGGGGTGGGGGCGGGAGTCTGGGGGGCGGAGCCGGCTGGCGCGGGGGGGGGGCGGTCTGGGGGCGGAGCCGGCCGGTGTGGGGGGGAGTCTGGGGGCGGAGCCGGCCCGTGCGGGGGGGGCGGTCTGGGGGCGGAGCTGTCCGTGGTGCTGGCCGCGCAGGTCCCGCCAGTCTCCAGCCTGCGCGCTGCGCTCGGCCGGTGCCCGGCGCGTCCCGCCCCTGCCCCGCTGCGCTGCGCTGCGCGCCCGGCTCCCTGGGCGCGGCTGCCCCCCGGCTCGCTGCCCCCCCGGCGCGCTGCCCCCCGCGCGCTGCGCCGGGCTCCGGTGCGGGGCGCCGGCGGGGAGCCCCGCGCCCCTGTCCCGCGGGGCCGCCCCCTGTGAGGCTGATGCCCCGGCCGCGCCCCCTGTCCCTGCGCACCGGCGCAGGGGCCGATCCCGCCGCGGCGGACACGGAGCCCGGGGTTCCTGCGGCCCCAGCCCGGGGTTCCTGCGGCCCCCGCGGGCTGCCCCCGGCGGGGCCATGGCCCCCTTCCCCGCCTGCCTCAACTCGGCCGTGCTGGTGCTCTTCAGCTGCGACCTCTGCCTGGTGCGAGCAAGTGAGTGCGGGCGGGGGCGGGCCGGGCCGGGGTCCTCTGGCCGGCTTGGCACCGGGGTGAAGCCGGCGCCGAGCCCCGCAGCCGGCCAGACCCGGGCCCGGCAGCGGCGGCTCGGTGCGCGGCGCGGTTGCGACCCCACG